CTTCTTTGTCTTTAATGAGCCACACATAATTGTTTGTGCTAAGAGATGTCGTAATCGCAAAGGTCAGTGCCTGGGCCCAACTTGGCACGTCTGATGGATCAGGTTTGGCTAGAATAAAGTTAATCAAAGTCCAATTTCTTTCTTGTCACTAATGCAATCTGTAACCTCAGCCTCTCTTTTCAGCCACTACACTGCAGATCTGCCCTCATAGGCAACTCAATTAAGCTGTGCGATTCTTTCAGTCGCGTTATTCAGCTCCTGCTCAAACTGCACGATTGACTCGCAGAGGTTAGAAGTTCGTAGGTCACGATGCAGAGTCTCACACTATACGGCCCGATGTTCTGATGCGACCCGAGTGCTCACACTGTGCGTCCATAAAAATGGATATATAAGGTTATAACAGAAAATCTGTCGCTCGCTCTCCCTCTCTGTCTTTCACAGACACACCACCACCATCAACTTTGCTAAATTGCTAATGAAAAACATGACCATGCAGCTGTGATTGAGCAGCAACGTCCATCCAACTATTTTCACGGTTGTTGTGGTCGTGATGATTTTGTGAGGCCACATCGAAAAGGCTCGGATGAGCCAAAGTTCTACAAGTGCCTCCATCGCTTGTGTCCAGATCACACGCTGCACTGCTGTGCTACTCCGTCTTTTTCACCGACGTTTATGTCTTTGCACGTGCGCAGTGTGAGCAGCTGCGGTGACACCCTCACGACCAAGCGATTGATGATCGGGAGCTGGTCGTGAGGTGTTAATCGCTTCTCGTTACCCCACGTATACTACACGATGCACGACGCACGATGAAGGCCAGAATCGGGCCGATCACCAAAACGGTCGCAAAAATGGGACAAAAATGGCACAGTGTGAGCCCGGCTTTACTGAGTGATTTTAAAAAAAGCAAGAAGACAAATTGTTTCAAGTCAACTGCAAGTGATCGCTCCTGTGGTTACAACGACAGACATGAGATCATATCAGTCGTTATTATCATTAAATCAATAAGCAACTGTAATCCAGGAAATATGACTTTTGACACTTCCTCTCAGTGTCGATTTTGGGTACCCCCCCCCCTTTATTTTAACCCCCAAACACTTTAAAAAAGAAACAACAAAGTCACATGTGCAACAGTCACACATCATAGTGCAGCTGTCCTGTACCTGTGGCATTCATTTGCAATGGAGCAGCCTGAACAGCCTCTGTGCAATCACAGCATGACTCCACATGTTTCTAATCGTGTCTAAATGTGGTTCTCGTGTGTTTTACAATTATCTTACAGTAAAAATCTGAATCTAAAGCTAAAGAACCACCACAGATCGTGTCTGTACCTACATGTAAATAACAACAAATCACATTTATTGCCATTAAGTTGGCAAGGAGACATTTCTTAACTAACTGATGCAAGGAGACATCTGGGCGATTAGGGCACATGCTAGGAGAGAGCAGAGACACCTTTGTCTGGGAGGTGTGTCGCAGCAGCTCAGGTAACCAGGCAGCCGTGTACAACAGGCTTCTTTGACTGCAGTGCGTATCTCACGGGTGTGTGCGCTGTGAAAAACACCCTCCAGTTATGGAGCCAAGACGCGTCGCCAAACCACCAGCACCCCTCCCGCTTTCATGGCGTGGAGCCAAATTGTTAAGGTGGCGGCAAATTTTGACTAGTACAGGCTTGCAGGGGTAGTGGAGTCCCCCCCCCCAGGATCTATTCTTGGCTTTCTAAGAATTGGATAGACTGCTCTTGTCGCTCTGAATGCAGTGTCTTTGTTGCTGGCCAACAAGGCCAACTTACTAATACAGTAGTGTGTTTATGTGCATGGAAGGAAAGAGGTGAAGTGACAAGGAGAGAGGAAAAAAGAGGAAGGGAGGGAGTGAGGTAAAATGTGCCGGCGCATTCTGCAGACATCGACAGAAATACAGCACGCCATTCTCTCCTCACATGCAAAGAAAACCTGACACCACACATTCACACACATCTGTGTTTGTGGGGCACTTGTAAGCTTGAGGTAAAGGGCTGCCATCTGTGGCTCAGCA